TAAAGCCAATGGCTCGAGATTTCTCAACCAATCTTAATAATTCTATCACTATCAGAACCGGAATAACTTGCTCTAATATTTGCAACAGAGTAATCGTAAACAATCTTTATAACCAAGTCAAGGCATCTTCCATCATTTCGAGGACGACGACGAAAAACTGTATCATTAGAAGTAATCCTTGGATTTAAAGTAAAATTTCCTAAATAAACAATATTGGTTTCTTGTAATAAATGAACCTAATATACGATAATAATTAGCATAATAATTACCGACCATTGCAATAATTTACTTACCTGGAACAACAAATCTATTTGGTTGATTATTATTAGTCATAAATGTTGGCGAGGTAATAGCAACTCTGAAACTAGTTGCAGTAGTAGCTGGTTGTATATTTCCATATCCAAAAGATGTCCCAGATTGAATACTCGTAATATTTCCAAAAGATGGTAGGCTAGTCTGTTGAGAATTGAATCCGAAACTATTATTATCATTTGTGGTCTGGATAATCGGTTGATTAAATCCGAATGCTCCAAATGACGGAATAGTTGTTTGAACATTTGTAAATGTACCAAATCCATTTGATTGGAATATAGGGTTTCTATTATACGCATTTACTCCAGTAGTAGTACCAAATAGATTAAAAGAAGGTGCAGCGGTCACACTACTAAACATGTTTAATCCTATCCCCGGTCCAGTAGTAGTAGCACTAGGTGAAATGTTATTTTGTTGACTATTGGTGTTTATTTGAGCAATCAAATTTCCCAAAGTTCCAAATAATGGTTGGGATGAGTTATTATTATTTATTGGATTAGTTTGAAGATTACTTGGTTGGTTATTGATAGAGTTTTGTCCAATAGCGAAAGATGAAAATGAAGGTCGACTATTATTTATTAGAGGACCGATTGTTCCATTAGGACCACCTGAACCACCAATAAATGAAGCACGAGAATCAAAGTCTGGTGGAAGATCAGGTGGAAATCGAGGAGTACCTTCATTAAGAAGCCAGGATATTTCAGGAATTTCAGATTTAAGATGTCTTTCTATTGTATCGCCAAATTGTTGCAGAATTACATAACCTACAATGTTAAATGGTCTCAAAATATTTTCAACAATGGCACTTTGTCGGTACGCGGGACTCCAATATTGTAGACCTGGTTGACCATCTTCATAAAATTTCAGGTGAATCTCAGTTTGAAGTTGATCCATTGCTTCATGGATCAATTCCTTGAGTGCAGCAACAAA